TGCTGGCTTGTTGGAGGGTGTCCCTGCCCATGGCAGGGGTGGCACTGGGTGGGCTGGGAGGTCCCTGCCTACCCAAACCATTCCAGGATGATTCTGTGCCTCCCGCTGGAGAATTTTACCTCTTGTAACAAAGGCAGGAGACTGGCACCCTTCCCGCTGAGCTGCAGCACCTGGCAAGCCAATGCAGAGCCTGGGGTGGGTTTTTCAGTAAAGGTACTGGATTAACTGGGGCATGTGAGTGAGTCATGTGCTCTGTTTTGCCTTCCTGTCTAAGATAATAATTCCAACAAAAAATTCCTTAAACTGCTCTGGTGAATTCAGCTGCAGCACACAGAGCTTGTAGTCCAACAATCATAAAGAAGATAGTTGCTAGCAGAGAGGAGCACGAAGGTCTAGAGGTTTTTTTTAAAACGCCTAAGAGCAAAAGTCTTTATCTTCGACTGGATTCTATCAGCAATAAAGACTGACTGTTACTGCTGCGTCGTATCTTTGTGGTAGCTGCTGAGAATTGATAAGAGTTATTAATTGGATAAAATAGTCACAACTGCCTGCCTTTCAAGGGGGAGGGAAGAGGGCTTAGAAAAATGCAGCTTTGGAAATGTGGCCTTCTATTCTTTATAGTCTCATATTTCTAGATTAGGTTTTCTACACAGGGCAGGACACCTGTGGAGTCGTACGGGTATTTGTGTTCTTCGAGTTGCTGAGGTTTAGTTCTCAGATCTGTCTGTCTGCCTCTTCACAAATGGTGGAGGCACTTGCATCTTGAGGTAGTCAGGTACTGTAAAATACTCACAGAAAAGTCATATCTTTGTGGTGTCTTGCTATGCAGGTGGTGCTTTAGAAAGCTTAGTTAGATTTGTCTGATACTTAACACCACTTCTTTAAACTTTTGAGGGTTCTGGCTCTCAAAATTTTTTTAAAGGGCTTTAGAATAATCTGATTTTTAGGGAAGAGTAAAGACCTTTTGTGTTATCTTAAGTGTTACACTGGTAAATGACCCAAGGGTAGCTAATGTTACTCTGTATTCTACATGAACAAGTAATGTTTGTTCTACTCTTGGAAGTCTTCTGGCATGGTAAGGAGGTTACGTCCAGTAAATGAGTATTGTAATATTAGGAGTAATGAAAACTCGGCAGCCGTGGGAGTTTTCTTACATTCCATGCTGTGATTTCCCCTTTTACGTATATGCAATTTTTTAGAAGTGTAACCCTGGGAATTGCTTATGTTGTTGCAAAGCGTTGCAAATGTAGGTGTTCAGATCAGTTTTTCCATTTGTATGTGATGTGCTATATAGTACAAAACAGATGCTTTTAGGATTAATGTGTAGTAGTTGATTACAGAAGGAGCGTGTAAAGTTGCTGTAGAAAGCTTTGTGTATGTGCAGGCCAGAATTAGTCTCCTCCTTTATTAGGAACTACAAATCAGGTTGAAGTAGTTAATATCTATCTGTAAAACACCAGCAGCTGTGATGAACTGGCAGTGATCCACAGGTTTGTGCTGTATTTTAAGATTAAAGCTGGAAAAACGTTTGTGCTTGGTGCTCCTCCTGCGCACACACCCCCCTTCCCAGCCACACAGTGATCTTAGGTCTTAAACTCTGCTCTACAACCGATAAAGTGGTCTGGGGAATTAGTAAACCAGTCTTTGTGTTTTATTCTCCTCTGTCCCAAGTAAGCGTGTGGGTTTTTTGTCTTTCAGTATGTTCAAGCAGATGCTCCTACCAATAAAACACTGGCTGGGCTGGTGGTGCAGCTGCTGCAATTCCAGGAAGATGCCTTTGGAAAACACGTCACCAATCCTGCCTTCACAAAGCTTCCTGTGAGTATTGGGGTTAGCCCACCGCTATTCCAACAGCGGATTTTGTTCTTCCTCCGGTGTCTGTGCTGCTGGTGTGCTGCCAGGTGATTGGGAGACCTGTGCTTAGTCTGAAGGCTCTGGAGGGGGTGAAATAGCACACTCCTCGACAGTGGATTTTCAATGTAATATGTCTTATTTTCTATACATTTGGAAATGATTGCCTGAATACTGTGGAAGGCTTTTAATTTCTAGTAAAATTCTATCTAAACTTGTAAATTTTAAATGTTTGGACTAATGCATCCTAAACTGACTGACTAACATCTTCTTTCTAAACCAAAAAGTTTCCATTGAGCATTTCTGTTGATCAAACTTCAAACTTGTAACGCTGTCAGTGCTGAAAAAGGGCTTTACCGTGTTCTTTAGTAGCACGTAGTTACCTAATTAGCCTGGGATAGTTTTCCAGTCTCTTAGAATATTGGTACACAGAAACAGATACCAACATTTTAAGAGTTGCTTATTTAAAGTTCAAACTTGGCACGTCTTTAGCAGTAGTGTCCTAGTGATTGTGTCTGGAGATCAGCCCCGGTGTGCGTGGAACCCTGCCTACCACCAAGTGAGCGTGAACTCTGAGCAGCTGGTAGGGGGAAGAGGGACGCAGCAGATGGTAAGCCCAAAGTAACAAGGGGATTTCGGTTGTGGAGGGCAAGGGCTGCAGTGTGGTATTGAGCACCCAGTTGGCCGATTTAGGATAGGTTTTGTGGGCCAAGACAACTGTCATAAATGTGTATGTAAGTGTTGTGGGCATCGGCAGGGAGGTCTCTGCTCGCCTCTGCCGCAGAGTGCTCGCTGGGAACCTGAGGTCGTGCAATCTAGGGTTTTCAGATATACATACTGAGTGGGAAATACTTGATTACAATATCATAAACTGAAGTTGTTCTGAAAACTATGGAGTACTGCTATCTTCTTTGGTCCGCCGCTTATGGAATAGAATCTTTTCTATTTTATGGTGATTATTTTTTTCCCCAAGTGTTTTGCTTATGTAACTTCTTTTGTGAAGAGGGTAATTTCAGGCATGTTTTCTTCAGAAGAGGGGTTTTCCAACTTACTTATGGGGTGAATCTCTTGGTGCTTAGGAATGTACACAGAAGCACCACGAGATGGTGTTAAGATGTAGCTCACCATCTCTTCTGTTCTGATACCTCAGTGGTAATGAAAAGCTTTAGGGGACAGAGGTGAACGTTGCGGTGCTTTATTTTGATATGGCAGTGTAGACCATAAAACTGTACCCGTGTTCAACATGTCGATAAACTGTGTGAGTGCTCTCAAGTCTATAATCAATTTGTCTTATCTTAAAAATGGGTAATAAAGATTTCAGTGGCATTGTAAATATGTTGTTCCTGTGTTTAACTATTCTTGCTGTTTCGAAGGTCTAATCTGATCAAATTTGCTCAGCTCGGGCTTACACCGGTTGGATCTCTCTGCTCTCGATTACTTCCAGCAGAAGACAACTCATGAGTGCATCTTCCTTTATGTTGTTTGTATGAGAAAATGCGATACGTACTCTTAAGAGGAGTCTACCTTTCGCTTTTTCAGACATGTAATTCAAGATGATGGGTCAGGCTGCTCAGGAGGTTTCGTTGTTCTACCATAGCACTTGGAAGACAGGCAGAAGGCTTCAGTTCTGCAGGACTGTGTCTGACTTGGAAAGGGGGGGGGGGTCAAAGGGATGTCTCGAGTGACATTGCTAATCTCCAAAATGTATTGAAAAGCTATCCCAGACTTCCACTGAAAAGAAACTGAAGGCAGAAGAGGTTAAAAGTCTGTGGTTATCTTGGTGACTGTTCAGCATTACTGTGTTCCTGGCAAGGGAGGATCTGAAGTTGAAGAGGAGGTCACGCTTGTGTGAAGGAATCAACCCCGAACCCTCAAATCTTTGAGTGCTAGGTACCTGCGATTTGTGACTCCTGCTCGCAGGTACCATCACTAAAGGCTGCCGCTAACAGCCCGTTCCTTGCCTGATGCTGGTCTCTGTTAATACACGCTGCAGTGTTTCCTTTGTCAGTGCAATTTATTGGCGATTAAGTGTTGGTCTTGAGAACTGCAGTTGTTGCAAAACACAGGGATGTGGCTCACCAGTCAAACCAAGGTTGTTCCAGTTCTCGTTAGAGCCTTTATATTTATTTTCCAAGTACTGACCAGTGTGCCTCACCCTGGTTCTCTGAAGCGTCTGCTCCGTAGTGCTGGAGCAGTCAGTGACAAAGGGAAGCTGGTCTCTTCCATCAGTGTTGGAGGTAAACCTCTCTGATAGAGACTGCATCTAAATCGCTGCAGATTAGACTAGTAGTCTAGTATTTCAGCTTTCTGTTGAAATAAAGCTCCAACTTTTTACTTGGTGCTTTGAGTGGATGAAATAGACCTTGCATTTGAGAGAGGGGTGTTAATTCTGTGTTTAAGCTCCTGTTCTCGGCAAGGATGCCGTAGAGTACAGGGTCTGTGAATAGATCTAGAGTAAATGAAGGACTGTTACAGCTGGACTTCTGTGTGTGTCTTCTCATTATTGCATTTAAAGGCATATTGTCTCACCTTACTGATGCTCAAAAAAGGAAAAGCTGATTAATTCTCTTAAAGGCAGTTTTGCATGTTTCAAATAAAGAGTGTATTAAGATATTGACACTTAAGACGGCAAATTGTAAGGCCGGTTGATCTTCGTTGCCTTGTGATGGATTTGGGGTAAAAATGTTGGAGGAGGTCTGATTTATTGACTGTTGCATCTCTTCTGCACAACAGGTTTTGTCTAATTGTTAAAAGCAATTTCCTTTTATGCTACTAGCAACAACCACAGTTTAATGAGAGGGTTGCTGAAGTGTGCTGACACTTTAAAAAAAGTGACTTAGATCTATGAAAGAGATTTGTATACTGTTTTTCATGGTTACGTATTGGCTGAACATCGTTTGTGCGGTAGTAAAATCCTAGCTTGCCAGAACTGCTGCGATTGCTTGTGCTGCCGGGGGCTCCTGGATCGCTGGGCCCTGTGCCAGAATTGTCCCAGTAATGCAGAACAATGTGACCTTGTCATTGAGCGATTTCATGGGGGCGACTGGCGGGCAGCTTGATTGTAGAACCCCAGACTGGTTTGGGTGGGCAGGGACCTCAAAGCCCCCCCAGTGCCACCCCTGCCATGGGCAGGGACACCCTCCACTAGCCCAGCTTGCCCAAAGCCCCATCCAACCTGGCCTTGAACACTCGATGAGGGGGGAGCTGCAGCAGCACCTCCCAACGTGAAGTAGGGGCCGTTGGGTACAACAGTGTGACCGGCAGCTTCCCAAAATGCCGCTGAGGCAGGCTTTGCTGCTGTGATTTCATTCAGTTGTGTGGTACGGCTGGCATGTCAGCAAAACGGGGAGGGTTGATTCTGGATGACCATATGTATGTAGGACAGCTGAAGATAAGTAACAGCAACTTGCATGCTAGTGCTGCAAAAATATTCTTTACTATGAGTCTTACAGCTTCATGTTCAGATTTTTTTAGAGCAGCTAGCAATTGCATGCATGTTTGTAAACCAGCACTTGTATTCTCAGAGCCAAGTCTTAGGGCAATAAAATCATTCAGCGTGTTAAAACACTTTGGTTTAGTTCAAGCTTTTGATCAGAGACTGCTCCATCCATAGAGGACTTCCGTTTGCGAAGAGTAGTACTGAAATGCATGCAAGTACCGTATGGCAGCTCTGAGCTCCCTTTATTACCTCTGTGCACGGTAGGGCTCTAAACAGATGGTAGACCAGGAGCAGTTCTGTTCTTGTTGAATGCTTACAAAGGATCTTTTTCACGTTGTTGTTGGACACTGGTGTATTTGATATCTCTCAGAACCGCTGTGCTTTCCATTAGCAGCTCTAGAGCCAAGGAAGGCAATGTTTCGTTTGGATCCCGTGCCACCACGATAGCTGCCTGGCTGCAGAATGAATTTTAAAGTGCTTGTTGGTAATGCTGAGACTGTAATTTGGTGTTCAGTCTGTCTTAGCAAATACTCCTGAGGTGTAATACAATGGACTTTAAAGACAATTACCTGTTCTGATCTAAAAAGTACAATAGAAGCTAGATCAGAAACATTCCTAACATATTAAAACCCGAAGGAAAGAAACATTCCTAATGAAGAAAAACCGCGGCGTCTCTGGCTCTGTGCTCTCTCTAGCTCCAGCGCACGGCAGCTTGCAGAACACTGCTGGTGCCCGAAGTCCAGCCGTTAAACAACTCTCCAAACCCTCTTTTGTGAGTTGTGCAACTTCTTTATTTTTCCTGAGAAACACAAAATGGACCGATCTTGGCCTATATGTTTAGGATACGTATGGAAGGATAGGTTTTGATTCCTATTCCAGTAAATAATTGGGCGTCTTGCACTGAACGGAGCAACACCAGAAGGGGCCAACTCCGGAGTGTCCTTGGCCCGGCCGTGGGGCGCTTGTCAGGCTGGGAGGTGTGCGGCTGCGTTTCCAACAAGGATCTGCCTCATTTTGTCATTTCAGGTTATTGTTAGATCAGCTTTCCGTACATGTATCTGAAGTTGTCTGGGAAATGGACCTGTTTGCCCAAATGAGCTTTTTTAAAGTTCTGATCCTATATAAAAGTTGCCAAAAGCAGTTCAGTGCTGCAGTTAATAGAAAGGTTTTCCAGAGTGCTCTTACTTCAGTGCATGTTTGTAAATTAATTTGTACATCTTACAAGAACTTAAACCCCCCAAAATAATTAAAAAAAACCAATACTTTTTTGTGGTTCAAATTGATTTATCAGTCATATTGGAAAGGAGTCTGTCACTGTAAAGGCCTGCTGGACAGAAACAGTTTGTATTTGTTCTGTTACGTCACACGTTGCTTTCTTCATCGCTGGTTAGTTCATCAGCGCCGTTGCATATTTTTCTTCTTCCCGTTCCAAATTCTGTATTGAGAACCTCGGATCCCCCGTGTGCCGACATGCTGCAAATCGTGCTTGGAATCGATTCTAGCGTTGCCTTCCTCAGCGTTGCCTTCAGCTGAGCTCTCCACTTGTCTTCTGTTTCGAAGGTGACTTTGATAGTAGCTTACTTTTTCCGAGCATGTTACAAATATCCTGACCAGAGATAGTAGTAAAAGAGCAAAGATAATTCCAAACTAAAATTTGTCAGAAAAACGTACCTTTTTGTGTGGGAAACAGTCCTGCTTTTTTTTTTTTTATATAACCTTTTAGAGAACGGACTTGGTGGGACTCAGAGCTTTACAGTCTCCTCATGTTGCTGTTTGAATTTCGGTTCTTGAATTCGGAGTACCTCTTTACGAGTACATGCCTCAGCTGTCCTCTACTAAAAGTGAAAAAATAGTTGGATTTAGTGTTTTAGGGCAGATCTGCACAGTGACCTCTTCAGATCTTGACGGAGAACTTTTTGCTGTGATGGAGGAGGGACACGAATGGAGAGCGTTAGGAGCTGTAGTGAATGTGGAGCCCGGGTCTTCGATGTTCATTTCTAATGATTTACTTTAGTCTGCTTAATACAGATGAAGAGCTTCTTAACTGACAGCTGAGATTTTAGGTTCAATTTACTGTGAAATGGATGTTCAAAGAGCAGTTCCGATTCCTGTTTTACAGCTGTGCAAAGAACATTTTGCAAGCTACTCACGTAAGGAAGGACTCGGAGCTTTCAGAAATACCAGGTTCTGCTTGCAAACGTGAAGAATTCTACTTAAACTGAAATGATTTAATCTTGAAACATTCCTAAAGGAGAATGTGAAACTCCAAAAGTGATTCATCTGAAAATTACACTGTGTGTTTGATAAGTTAGATGTCTAAAACTCAGCTAACAAGCGTGTAGTCATTGAAAATAATGACATAAAGGTCAATGTCATTGTGTTTTCCCTTCTCTTCCTGGTTCTAGGCAAAGTGCTTCATGGATTTCAAAGCTGGAGGTACATTGTGTCACATTCTTGGTGCTGCTTACAAATATAAGAATGAACAGGGCTGGTGAGTTTTTATTTTGATTTATACACCTTTTGCATGAAATTAAGCACATGAAATGCCTATGCAAACTACTTAAAGTTTAATACTTCTTGGAGAATCGGGTAGGCAAGGGAGTCAGAGATGGGAAGAGGAAATTTTTTCCTGTTTTGCTGATGGTAGCTTTAAGACACTCCCACACATTTCTAAATTTAAAGATAAGTTGTCCAAGTTTAAGGTCTTGAGCCTGCGGGTTGGGAGTTAATTACAAGCTTGAGCCTTTTCTTTGCCATTGGATTTGCCGTATGACTGAGCAAATTAACCAGTATCTTAGAATTGCTGTCTCCCATCTATAAGATGTAAATCTTTGTTACTGTATTGAGTATAGGTTTTAGTTATAGTTGGGAAAACGTGAAGTATTGCCTAGATACCAATAAATGCTGCGTTTTTCCACTTCTTCTCAACCTCCATAAAGAGGGAGTGCAAGCAGTTAGAAATACTGCTCGTGTAGCTATTGACGCTAGTATTAAAACTATTTATGTGACATCGCAATAGTGTTGTGGCCTGTGTGTTTTCCTAAGTTAGAGTCCTCTTTCCAAGACAGCAGTAGCATGAGTTACTATGTTTGAGAACAATGGAAAAAATCTGAGGATGAAAATCTCATAGGTAAAAGTAAGCGGAGATTGTTCTTGTAGGTGAATTTAAATACTTTCCGATCTGATGGTGTGCGGACCTGTAACAGCGTTCCTGGAATTGACTGTGTGTGTTACCCACAGGAGCAAATTAAAAGGCAAAAATAAAGTTGTTCTGGTATGGCTGGTTGGTTTTAGGAGTTGTTTATACTCGTATCAGCTAAATGGATATCTGAGGTGGATATAGCAGAAAGATGCTATGAGTAAACGGCCGTCAGGTTTTTTCTACTCCAACATTGTGAACACCCAAGGCATGATACGTTTGTAGTGTTCTGTGTGGCACATCTTTCAGGAGTGTCTTGCTACCTCTCTGCCTTTATATTAAGGAGTTAAATGGCTTCTACTTAACAAATACTTAAACATTCCAATGTTTTTTTTAAAAAAATTTAGTTTTCAGTCATTGAAATTTGTCAGCAAAACAAATCAGATACGTGATTGCCTCCTCTCTTCTCACTCTCTTGCTGATTCCTCAGAACTAGTGTGGGTAGTGTCTTGTGTTTGTGCATGTGGGATGTAGAGGGAAGTAATACTGGAATTTAACTCTGAGGATCAGACTTAGAGCTTGGAATGTATCCTTCACTGACTCAACCAAATAATATGTGGTGTTTTGCCTGAAATATGATTTATTTTTTTTAATGGTATGCATTGTCGCTCTTGCTTAACCTGTTTGTGAATGATCTGTCTTATAGGAGAAGTACCTTTCCTCGTCATAATAGGTATGTCAGAAAAATGCACTTACCCAGTGCAGCTGGACATACCTTGTCTATCACTGCAATTCAAGTAGTTGTTTGCTCAAGCCTGTCAGAGGGGATCAGTTAAACTCAGGACAGGAAGAATTAGTACTGCTTGATCTTACCCAAACGGGCAACTAAAAAAAGTGCTATTTCTTAATATATTGACACGCTTCTCTTCCAAGTATGGGTTTCAAATGCAGGCAAAAATGTGGGGGCATGTAAAGCATGAAATGAATATGTAATGCAGGGTTTAGGCAACCAAATGTAATAATTTTGGTCAAACCTGAATGCCTTAAGTATCTTTGTTTCATAGGTACTGAAGACTTTATTAGGTGTCTAGGAAAATAGGTTAGTTTGTGTGTGTTTGGCATTTATCTTCCTTCACTTCCTTGAAACTATCACGTTCGAGAAGCGTGTGTTCTGAATACAGACTGTGAAGCTGTCGATGGCTGAATACCAGAGAAGTGGCTTGATCTTGGCTCTTAAATCCTGTGTATTATAGGTGTAAAATACTTTATTAAATTGTGTTGTGCGGTGAGCTGACAGACTTATTAGTGTCTGGCCCTACTTCTAGAAGTCAGTGTAACCCTTTCAAATGCACAACGCTATTTAAAGAGGTCATGAATGTCTTTTAAAATTGAAAGACGGTTCTAATAAATATGCCACGAGTCCATAATACTGCTTTAGGATAGAAGCCATCGTTCACCAGTAGCGAATATTTGTAGTGCTGCCCAACACTATAGCGTATTTACGCAGTACCGCCTGCGAGGGCATCTTCCTGAAAACGCTGGAGAGCCTCAAGTGAAGAAAAGCATGGTGGTGTCAGCTGAAGTGTCTGTTTAATTTAGTAAATATTGATGTGATGTCATCCTTGTGTGGTAATGGGTTTTGTGACTAAAAATCAGTCTTTGGTTTACCTTCATTGTCTATTTATAAACTTTAAAAATTGATTTCATGTGTTACTGGAAACAAGCATCTGTCATTAGATATGGGCACAGGAATAAATTCTTGTATTTGAAGTTGGGGTGTTAAGTTAAAGCATATCAGTCCCTGCATGGTAATTATGTGCATGGCTTTTTCACAGTTAAGTGTACTCCTTATTTGATACGGTGAAATCCTTCCTGCCAGTATTGCCACTCCTGAACACCAACTGGGCACCCCAGTTAAGAGTGGTTCCAGACTCTAGCAACAGCTTTTTCCAAAACTCGGGAGGTACGGAAGTGCACCAGACAGTGTTTGACATCTGAGAGTCAACAACCTGATTATCTAAACATACCGTGGTGCTTGGAGAAAGGCGGACCTGTTAGGGGTCAGGCCCAAATCTCTTTGAGGGCCCTACGACACTGCTTCCCTGGGTAGGTGGTGATGAGCCAGCGCAGACACCGGGGTCGGTGCTGTTATTGTCCCACCTCTGGGGTTCTGGGGGCTCGCCACTCAAATTCGCCATGTGAGTTGATTCACCCGTGACTTCCGAGTATGTGTACAGTTCAGGTGGATGTGGCAGAATGCCTTTGGGGGGCTCTTGTGGTTCTTCCCAGTAGAAAGTCTCAGATTTTCTGGTGTCCAGCCCATTTCTGGTAGACACTTAAATCTGCATTGTTATTTCAAGAATTTTGATTCCTTTGTCCATGATGTAGCAAACTTTAAAGTAGTGGAGCCCAACAGAGATGATCATAAAATGCTTACATGGATTATGAGCTACCTGTATGCTGGGGAGGGGGGTGGCTTGTTCTCAAATAGATAAGTAGTTTAGAAAATCTCAGGCAAACGAATTGCTGTGTTTTTCCTGGATTAGAATCTGGGACTGGTGGATGGTGCAACTAGAAGTAAGAGAAACGTGAGAGCTTGTTCATGAATTTTCTCATCTAGTTGTTGAAATCCATTGTGAGCATTTGATTCTGTTTCTGTTTATCCTTTGTGACCGTAGTGGAATGCACAACCCTGCTCCAGGGTTTTGTTGGACGATGTCAACCTTCATTTTTCCTAAACATTTCACAGATCAGTTGCATTTTGTTGATTTGGTTCATTGTGATTTTTCTTGCTTGTGAGAGCTGCCAAGTGAAGCAAAAATATTTGTGATTGTGCTTTAAGTGTTCTTATGTAGCTACCATGATATACTGTTTTTGATGTGGAACGTGAAAGATTCTTGACTGCTGAATGGAGGAGACTTGAATTTAATATTTTCGAATAATTTTTCTTAACAGGCGGAGGTTTGACCTGCAGAATCCATCCCGAATGGATCGAAACGTGGAGATGTTCATGAACATTGAGAAAACACTAGTGCAGGCAAGAAGCTCATATACAAAAGTGCTTGTGTTCACGTGCTCAGGGGAAGGGGTTCACTAGCTTTTTGTGTACCTCAGTTGTGACCCACTGAAATGTTTCATCCGGGATTTCTATTGGAATATTACACGCTTCCCTCTCTCCCCCACCCATTTTAGTCACAGTTCAGTGTTACCACTTGAAAACTTTGAAATGTTGTCATTGATACTCTGTGGTTATGCATAGGGTGAGAAAACCTTGTTTGTAAGGTAGGAGAAAGCATCCCGACTGTCTCCGTCTTCCTGTGAAAGTAGCACCTTTAGGATTGAGTAACTAGTTCTCTACTTATCCATTCAGTTGCTGACTTTCAGCCTGATAGAAGTTTGACTTTTTTCAGGGTTAGGGTACATTTTAGACTCTCTGGCTTGCTTTATTGAACAAGTTATTACCAGAAGAGAGCAGATAACAGCTGTATGGAATCTAATTTGAAGTTACATTTTTTAAAATGCTGTGTGTGGGTAATAGGATATTTTTTCATACCCTAAACCCAAGCTCAGTGTATAATATAGTCAAGATGTAACTTTCAGGTGCTTGTCAAAAATAGGAGGGACACCAAAAAGAAACAATACTCTTACTATAAAAGCTATTGCTGTTGTATGGTGATTTCAGTACATAATAGAGTACATGTTAAAATCCAAAAGGGGATGAATGTATACCTGTCAGCATTGTTGAAATGCATCAATCTGCATGCTAGTACAACAGGACAGGTTCAGATTTGGAAGCTAACACACAGGGGACTTAAATTCTCTTTCAAGCAAAGTCTTCCAGAGCCTGTCAAAAATTCTTTACTGGAAACCATGTCTTTGAAATTAAAGCTGTTGTGAAAGCAGCAGCGTGAGAACAGCTGCATTGGGTCCTGTTCCCTTGATTCATGATAATGTCTCTGACGGAGCTAGCAGCAGATCTGCAGAGACCAGAAAGAAACCCAGGGCGAGACTTTGGCGAGGGAGCATGTGAAGGAAATACTGCTGTCTTGGTGGTTTCTGGAGCTAGAGTCGCTGTGCCGTTTCACAAGCTGATACGTGCTCCTTCGGAGCTTTTTCAAGCGTTGGTGATCTTAATAGGAATTGTTTGATTTATGTCATAGGTAGCCTACTAATTTCTTATTTAACAACTTACTGTCTCACCAGAACAATTGTCTGAGCAGACCGACCATCTACCTCATTCCCGATATAGAATTGAAGCTGGCTAATAAATTGAAGGATATTGTCAAACGTCACCAGGTAACTGTTAAATAGTATATCTTAAAACAAATGCTTTGTCAGCTGTAAGATAAAACATATTTGCCCGACTTCAGCCTATCAGTTACATCTGGATTGTGCCTGATGACACAAGGCAGCAGCAGCAAGTCACTTAAGACCAGATGTTCGCCATTTGTAAAATGCTCTTAGGAGTTACCCTCACATGGAGATTGAGTCATAACTCTGGTCTAAAAGCAAATCTGAAATTGCTGTTGAAGTGAAAAGTAGTTCCGGTGTCTGGGTGAGCTGGCTGCAGGCCCTGGCTGATTTGATGTTGAATACCTGCATATATAAAGCAGAAGCTCACTGTTTGTCCAAATTTCAGACCAAAGAAGGTAGTGTGTAATACAGCTGTTCTAGCTATGTGGGGGCAAGTGGAAGGAAGTTTTAATCTTAAAATAATCACTACCTTTTTTGCTTTATTTTACTTTTTTTTTCTTTGCTCATGCTGAATGGAGCACAAAAAACCCCCCGATTCTCTTGCTTCTTAGGTAGTCGGCATACTTCCAAGAGGGTTAACATCTTGCCATTGTAATTTAATACACTAAACGATGAATTGAACAAGATTAATAGTGTCATCTTTTAAAAATGTAAACAATCCTTTCACTTGTCTTGAGAGGTGTCCTGGAATATGAACTCTAGATGGTCTGGTGGCCTTTTGTGTTACAGTAATTCACGGCTGTAGCCAAAGTAAACTGTTTGTTTTCCAGGTTAAATATATTTCCTGTGTTGTGATTATGAACTATTGTCTCAACTTCAGTTGTGTAATTTTTCACAAGTTACTCTTATTTGGCTGATTCAGGATGCTTGCTATTGCTTAAATTGGAGTTAATGATTCTGTTTTCCTCTCATAAAGGACTTCTGTAGGGAACTCAAAGCATGCTGTATCTGTGAATGATTTAAGGGACTTTAAAGCAGGCAGCTTTGTCTCTAGAGGATATGAAGAACTGAAAACAGAAATTGTCCCTAATTCTGCTTTTTGGGCTTTCTTCCTTTCCCTCCCTGAATTCTCATCTTGTATTTGTGTTGCTACCTGTTCTTGCTCACTGTCTTGATTTTTTTGTTGTTGGGGTTTTTAACCTGTTGCTGTTGTCTTTCCTCTACCCCATCCCTAGTACCTGCAGCTCCCTCCTCTCTGACGTGCCCAAGTCCTTGCTGCTCTGACCGCAGCCTGTGTGGATGGGTCGTGTAGCTCTTGCCCCAGCACAGCGGCTGGTGTGATCTCTGGGCTTACAAAAAGAGATGTCCATAAGGTGTTCTCTCTGCTGAGGAAGATGATGTTCTTTCCATTAGCCAAACTTTTTCTGATTTTTTTTTTCTTTATAAATGTTGAGGATTCTTCTGAGAAGAGCCAGAATAATAATTTAGGAACTTGAAAGCAGGTAATGAGTGAGATTTAGCATTTGTATCTATCCGCTTCAAGAAAAGAGAACTGTTCCACCTGGCTATGTCTTCAGCTTCCAGTGACATTCAGTTTAACAGAGACAGGGAATACACCGTACAATCTGTTTCCATCTTCCAGAAGGCTGTTCTAGTGTAAAGTTATCCATCCCTTTGTTTTCAGTCAAGATAGCATCTGAGAGACTTCCTGTCATCTGTTGTGTACTGCGTTTTTTTAAAGCGCCATAGGAAAAGGATAAAACTTAGTGATCTGATTCACCAAGCTTAGATTAGATATCTAGAGAAGCATCTTTAGCTCATGGGGACTGAAGGGAGAACTTCCGTTATTGTTCCTTCAGCACTTTGCAGGAGGCTCTTTCATGCCAGGGCGCTCTCCTCCTTTGACTGCTTTTAAATTCTTCTTACTTCCCAGCTTTCTCTTTTGCTGTTGCTCAGAGCACCTCCTCTCCCTTCACCCAGTTTTAGGAAGTCTTGTTGTTGTAGGAACTCTTACCCTTCAGCCCCTGATATCAGAGTAGTCTCTGAATATTGCTGCCATCATGCAATGCATCTTCCTGCCTTTTTTTTTTTAATTTTCCTCCTCTTGATGCTAGTGGCTGTCTTTGAAAGAAGTTACTCATATTGTTGGCTGTAACCTATCCCATGTGCTCTGAAGTCCTTTAAATAAATCTGTCAAGCATTTATGGAATGTAAATGTTGAATAACTTTTTCATACAAACTGTTCCAAAACAACTCCTCTGCAGAAGAGTCTGCAGTCTGTGAATTTCTGCTGTCTTTGGAAATAACTCTTCATGTTTGGAGACTGAAGGTGTCTCTGCAGCCTGTGGGAGAATCCTGATGGCCCTCCATGTGAGGGAAGGACAGCGTTTTCTCAACTGACGTAACGCTGCTTAGCATGGCGTGCATTGAACAGATATCTAATTATGTGGAAGAATTTTCTTGCATGATGGTGTAGGTCTGATAGGAATATAATTATGGCCTCTACTCATATGTAGAGAAATTGCTTTCTGTACCGCTGTTTGTGGCATCCACATTAGCGTGAGAAGTACATCTGTTGCTTCTTGCACGTCAAGAATATGATGTCCTAAACCACCAAGAAGAAAAAGTATGTTCGTATCTGAATATTTGATGAACAGTTGCATCATGTTAGTGTTACTGTTTCTGATTTATTCCCTTTGTTCAGTGATTCAGGTGGCTTTTTTGAAAGAGTGGGTGTTTATTCTGTCCCTTGATATCCAGCATTTCTTGAATACTACGGATGTTCTATTCAAGGCAGCCATTTCTAGTGAAGTTTCTCGTAGACTTTATCTTACGTAAATTGTAATATTTAGAAATTGCTTTGGATCAAAATGTGTACTTAGTGAAATATCTTACAGGTGCTTTCTTATAAAATACTCACCAGTAGGTTTGTATGAACTGATAGTTGAACAACGTACAGTGAGAATTGGGGCAGAAGGAACTAGGAGGACGAAGGATGTGACATGAAAAGAGCAAGAGATGCCAAAGTAGTTTGGCAGCAGTCTCTTAAAATAATTGCCTTTTTCTGGCACTTCACAGAGGTGGTGTTCTTTGTACTTGTGTTGAGGTTAGCTTTGAGTATTTCTGGGTTGCATGGGATGTGGGTAAAAAGAAGGAACGGAGATGTTCCAGGTAATATGTTGAAGGTTTCTCATGCAGTTTCCTCTCTTCTTCCACCTTTCCCACAGGGAACAGTAACTGAAGAGAAATCAAAGGCTACCCACCATGTTTATCCAAGTCCTACCTCAATGGATGATGGTAAAGTTGCTTTCCAGTTTTTAAGTGGAAATAGTCTTGTAACTAAATTCCATTAGCACTTAGGGGAGCTTTTGCACAGCCTGCTCCTGAGAGCCACTGGGAAAGTACTTCTAGGATTAACCACCCCAAATAAAATCCTTGGGTGTCCCGCTTCTATCTGTTGGGTATAGCAACCATTTTTGATGCAACACTTTTGGATTAAGGTGTGTATTGCTGACTACTCTTCAGTGATTGCATTGGAGATTGAGATATTATTTATTGCTGAATGCAGATAGATGTTTTGTTTGTCCTAAATATCTTGCGGGCTAAAGGCAAGCAAAGCTAAGGGTCTGGAAGAACTTAAAGAAATTAACTTAGATTTAAAATTAAAAGGAAAGACGGTGAAAGTAGAGACCTTAAAGGCAAAGTTTTCGTTAATATTTTTTCTTCTGTGGTATCCCCCAGTGTGTAAATATAGGTCACAACATTGTGTGAAACATTATTAGGAATCAACTAGATGTGTGAAAGGTGGATAGATGCTAAAGTAAATGAGAATTGAAAAACCGTC